AATAATATGTGTTATATATATATATATATATATATATATATATATTATATACGTATATAATTGACAACATCCGTTTTTTTTTTATACGGATTACTGGTTATTCGGTGATTTTATTTTGTCACATCCATCGTTTTCGCCACTTAAGTGGCTGTATAGCAATACAAATGATCAGCGGCTGTTGACAAGACAGGAGATTTGTCGGGAAGTTTCAATTCTTTGAAATTGTTCGCAATTTTTGGGGGAGTTCTTTCTGGTATTACTTCGTCCTATAACAAAGATATATCTTTCACTCATTTTTCGAGAATTTAATTTTTTTTCAGGCAATTCGAAACTATGGTGACTTGAAGCATATGCATGCGCCTGAGAAATATCGGCATCTGCAAAGCTTTCATCGCTATTACTCCGGCGAATTAGTAAAATTCAATTTCATTATATTGGTAAATAGGCTAGGGGCAGTATCGGACACTCTGACGTAAACTATTTTTAAAGGAACACAATACTTGAAATTACTGTTAATCAACCATACATGATTAAAAATAGAAGGTTCACGATTTACATCCTCCATTTCTTTTCATGGCAGCATGTGCTGTTTATATGTGTGTTGTTTTATTTCAAAAAATATATAGTGAAGTAACGCACGCTGCATCAAATATTAGAACAGTTCGGCTGACTTTGCAGAAGAGATCCGGAATTGTTTTATTCGTTGTTTTGTTTTAGGAGGCACCAGTATTAACAATTTTTGTTGGAGGAAATCATGAAGCATCGGGTTATCTGCAAGAATTGCCTTATGGTGGATGGGTTGCCCCGAAAATTTTTTATTTAGGGCATGCATCTGTTGTACAATTTGCAGGACTCCGAATAGCTGGTCTTTCAGGCATCTATAATAAAAATGACTATAATACAGGTAAGCTATTTACATCTTTGTTCCTCTGGTTACTTTCCATATATGGTAGATTGATACATCCATTTAATATACTTTGGCGGAGATGTGTGGACGTATGCGAATAATTGGATGCACTTAGTTTAGAATGTGGCATAAAGATAATTTGAATTGGCTGAGATTCAATGCAAAATTTTCATTTTATTCAAGGTCATTGGGAACGTCCACCATTTATTGATTATGGTGCAGTTGTTTCCGCTTATCATGTCCGTTCTGTCGATGTATTTCGTCTAAAGCAGTTGAAGCCAAGGAATCCAAATGGCATGTTAATTTTTTATTTTTTAAATTGACTTCCTCTTGTAAATATCGGGGTTGTGATATCCTTAACATATAAGTCTTTAGTTGTTCAGATTTTATGTTTTGTTTCTTAATTGCTTTCTTGTTGATTGTGTTAGGTTTATTTATCGATCGTGTTAGCTTTATTTATCGAAATGTTAATGGTATTAAACTGCCTTTATGGTAGGTCACATCCTGATGTTACTCTGTCGTTTAAAACTAAATTAGTCTGAGACTAGCTAGATTGGATTATTCCCAGTTTCGATATCGTTTTTGCCGCGTACATTTTTACCATTTCTTCGAATGGTCGTTTTTCTCTCTGGCTTTCGGTTTACGCGCCCTTTGGTTAAGAATTTAGACTATTTCATTTGCTTCAGAACCACCAATCGATATAATGGTGACACATGACTGGCCAGCAGGCATTACAGATTATGGCGATGTTAAGCAATTACTGAGGTTGAAACCTTATTTTGAAGAGGATTTGAAAAAGAATGCGATTGGGAATCCTGCTACAATGACATTATTACATGTAGGTGGATGCTTAATGCTACACAAATTTCGACGTTTAAGATGGCGTTGCATTTAAATGGTGACCATGTAGGGTTCTAGTGTTTCTTGAATTTGAAATCATTATAAGTAGATCTTTACGTTAGATTTTCTAATTTCTATGCAGATGTGGGGGTGTAGTGGTTTGAGTCATCGCAGTAAGCAATGGGTGTGTGGTTCGGTTCCTAGTGGTAGTAACCTTCAATCGGGTTTTCCGTACGCTCACATATGACGTATTTGGAATTATGCGAAGGTAAAAAAAAGTCGTTGTTCCCTTGCCACGAAGGGTTTGAAGTTTGCCGAGCCCTTTGCCTTCCTGTGGAGCGTACAACTCATTTATGAGTTGATTCATATTGCTTTTGAATTTATCCAACAGTCGTTCTAATATTACATCAGATTATCCCTTTTTTTCTTTCTTTTTTTTTTAATTTTTGATGAAAAGGATGGAGCTGCATTACTGTCGTAAGATTGATCAAGTGTGAATGACTTGGATGCAAAACTTTTTACAAATGAAGTTTCTCATTGCTACTGGGAGTTGATTTCTACCTGTGGCTAGGATTTTTGATATACAGTTTTTCTAGTAATTTTTGCTAATATGTAAGTACTACGAAATTTTTCAAATCTGATATCTTGGATCCTGTAATGAAACAAAGGCAGGACGAAAATAGCTTCCCCATGTTGGCGTATTTTTTTTTTTCTATTTGCAGGTATTGAAGCCACGTTACTGGTTAGCAGCACATATGCATTGTTTATTTGCAGCTTTAGTACCCCATCCGAATAAAAATGACCGGGAAAATGATTTTGAACCAACCAGATTCCTTTCACTGGATAAGCCACTTCCACGAAGGCATTTTCTGCAGGTGATTACGGCATACATTAAATATATGCATCAGATGAACTTCACGATAACTTCTCTACTTTGTTACATCACTTGTTGTATGCAGAAGAAATTTTTCAAGATCTTTATTAGTATAATGAAATAAATGTTAATTTTTTGCTTTTCAAGATCTTTATTAGTATAATGAAATAAATGTTAATTCTTTGCTCTAAATTACACCATTGTGTGTAAAACAATAATGAATGGATTATTTCATTTTCTTAATATTAAAAAGTGTAGTTTTCTGATAACTGTATAGTTGTTTAAGGTTTCTTTTTATGGCCTTTTTGTTTCAGACATTCCACTTTGGCTTTTCACCTCCTGAACTTTCCGATCTTGAATATATGTTTCTGTTCAACGTTTCAGGCTTTAGAATTTGATGTTGATCAAAATGTTTCGCTAAATCTCTCGTATGACCCGACATGGTTAGCAATTCTGAGAGCAACAAACGCTCTTACATCAGTAGACAAAAATGTAAGTATCTTTTTCTTTACCATGAAAGTAACAGGAGTCCCTATTTTTCATTAAGGTAAAATTGGTG